AATTAAAAATCGTATTATGAAAAGACTAAGAGAAAAAATAATATAAATAAAACTTATTTCGGAAACTACAAGTGTTTAAAATGACGTAATATTATCAATAATATAGTCACTATTATTTAAACCTCACAATTTGCAAAAGAAAATCGTAAGAATTTTATTTTCGCATTTGTAGAATTCGTTTTTAGCTGATTTGATACAGGAACAAACCTAGGAATTATGAGTTTGTACTTCTTTAATTAGCTAAACAGAGATCATGATTTTATTAGTATTAATAAAGTGCAATAGTTAGTTTCCGAAAAATAAGGGGGTATATCACTTTAGGAGACCTATGTCGGTATCGGTGACTTTCCTCTACTTTGTTTAATATTATTACCTCGTTTGTTTAATTTAAGTTTGACATATCTTAAAATCAGCACACAATATTTTAAAAACATTATTAAACATTCATTTAATATTTTTAAGCAAAATAAATATTTAAAAGGGATTTTTTAAATCTTTTTTAAATATTATATGCTGATAGAATACATTTATGCCACCAGTACCGCCACAAGATATTGGAATCATCGAAGGAATTGCGGAATATCCGGCTGAAAACCTGAAAGATCCATATTCATGTTCGATGATAAGATTGAAGACTGTTACCATAAACATGACAGGGGAATACACGTGTACGATCAGCACATACCAGGATGAAGCGAGCAATTCGACAAAGATGATTGTTTATGGCAAGTTTGCGAGAGAATTTAATCTGAAATTTAGCATGTCTCTTTTTAATTGATCGTTCACACTGTTTAACTGATTGATTGCCTTTATTTGTTTTTAAGTGCCGGAAAGTAACATGACGGTGCGTACTTATCCCTTTAATAAGACTCACGTGAATTTAACATGTGTGGTCATGGGTGCGCTACCACGACCGTCTCTGAAGCTTTTTGTCAACGGGATCGAGAGCAACAGTTATGAAAGCGATCGGGGACCCTTAACGGATTGGTACAAAGGTAACCCTCAAACATCGCTGGACGTCATCATCGAGAATACGTTGGACCCTGCTATCATCGAATGCGAAATGTCAATCCCCGAAACAGAATATAAACGCCGAGAACGGATCGTCTATTACCCCAGTTCGAATCGTTCCAATGTGACAGTCAATGCACTTTAACACAAGTGTTCTTATTGTTATTTAACTCGTTGTTAACTCAAAGTGTTCTTATCGTTATTTAACTCGTTATTAACTCAAATTATCTTCTAAAGAGTGAAGAAAAATAATATATAGAAACCTACTTTTTGTTAGATCTCACCGGCAGAATACTTTTTTAAATAACAAACTATAAACATTAATGTAAACTTAACAAAATTTATGATAATCTTGTCGAGAGTCGAACAAGACAATTTAAACACGCCTAAACTCTCGAACTTTCAAGCAAATCTTTTTTTTAATTCATCAAATAGATGAGATGTTTATTAAATGTATATTCCTTCCTTATGTTTCAGCGCAATTACTACCCTATCGCACAAATGTTTCGCAAGGGAGGCACTACGCGATGTTGCTTGTCGATATCCTTTGTATTGCCATTCTTAGATTAATATGGTAGGATTAAGGTAGACTGATTTAATCACAAATTGTACTCCAGGGAAATAAATATTTATTTATTAAATAGATAATGTAATTTAATTTTGGACCTTGAGTCATCAACTCATCTAGTTTTGAAAAAAAAAAAGAAATAATACAACTTTATCTTAAATCGATCATCTCTATTCAATCTATTTTTTCCCAAAGCACATATAAATAATATATGTCGCTCGAATTCGATTGTCCGTTGATTCTTCAATGATTTTTAATATTCGTTATTTAACCTTTTGCGTATAGAAGTCATAGCTATATCGAAATGACAAAGTGGGTGCGTGCGTTGGGGGTGGGAGAGATAATCTTGGATAGTGGGGATGATATCTAGAAGCGGTATCCTTCAAGATTATCATTCGCTTCCCGGCACTCACCTGTAAAGGGTAAGTAACCATCTGCAGCAAATCTATCTTTCAATAATTCGTACCGGTTTGTAATAGCATCTTAAATTGTCACAGAATACTAAATTCGAATGTAATTATTTTATAATTATCAAAATATATTATTTTTTATTTTCTCGTTAATACACTACTTCTAATTTGATAATGTGTTGTACTCTTGTATAATGTGGATCGAAAATTCGTTAACAATTTTTAAAATCGTGTAACAACTGATAGCTTCCCATTTAAAAATGATAATGGAATCGACATTGAATCGATGTCGATTCGACGTCGAAAGCATCAAATCGACATCGAATCGACGTCGATTCGATGTTGATTCCATTGCCATTTCTAACTGGGTTTATACTATATAAATTCATCTTGTTAAAAACGTGCAAACAAACTGTAATTATATTTTAATTACAGTTAGAAAGGTTGTAATTAAAATGAAATATATGTATATTACTCGAATATCTTAGAGCGACATTATTAATTTAAGATGTATGCTATATTTCAGTGATATTTTAATTTACTAACAGTTAACGGCATTATTTTTTTAAATTTTTTGCATTCGTTATTACTAACACATTTCTATTGTTTGTAACAGAGCGTTCGCATCTGTAATTGAAGTCGTCAGGCTTATCATCGTGCCGAATTTATCATCTCGCTCTTGATCGCCAATACTTTATAAAAAATGAATCACCCTTGGATGCTACTTTTTTTCGCAGGTAATATATAATCTTTTTTATTACATATATATCCTGATCCTTAATTTATACAGGGTATTGAAAAAACATTTAGCATTTATATGGTAGATAGTACACATCATACTGAGTAAAAATAATTAGTGAAGGTCGAAAACTCAATCATTTCAAAGAAATAAACAATTTTGTATATTAGTGTTATAATAATTAACTGACTTATTTTTCTGTATGTTCTATAAACGTGAAAAAAGAAAAACTAATATAAGTAATATAATAAAAATAGGATCACGAGCCAACACAAGCAAGGTTTTAATACTAAGTTATTGAAAAAACAGTTTCAATAAACTTTTTAAAAATTAAAGTTATAAACTTTTATAACTTTAAAAAGAATTCTTTACGTAAACAACGTTCGTTACATACACAACAAACTTATATGTTATTAGAATTATTTTTTAACGTTACATGTTTTGTTCAAGATCGTTATTCAAATGAGCATTTGATTTTTATTTTGTGTCAAGGTTAATATTGAAAATGACCCAATTAGGGTCGAAACAATAAACTGTTTGTTTTTTCAATAATTTAGCATTAAGACCTTGCTTGGCTCGTAGCCCTATTTTTATTATATTAATTTTATAAATTATTTGAGCCTTAGTTCTTATATTATTTTTAATATAAGTAACACTGATAGCCTATTTGGAAGAATTACACATCCAAATGAGGTAATCTTCCATAATGTCCATTCAATGTATGAATGGCTAATTGATGATTTACTGATTCTCCCAGTGAAATTTTTCATTGTAAAATGTGTATGAAAATTGAATGAGAACATTTAGAATGCAGTTGGTAAATATTGTGGTAAATCTTTACGTCGCATGTGACACGTAAAAACCAATAAATCAGTTATGATATTAACATATAATTAAAATTGTTTATATCTAAGAAATGGTTGAGCTTTCTACGTATATTTACTAAGGCTTTGTTATTCAATATGATATGTATCATATAAATGCTGGTTTATTTTGTATACCTTGTATAAAAGACAGCACGACACTCGGAGAAAAATGCTTTCAAAACTATTATTTTTTTTTTTATATTATAATAGAATGTCATATTATAATGAAAGAGTGTGAGCGTGACATGGTTAGATAGCACACTGCAGGTCTCTCATGCTAGAGGTGCCGGGTTCGATCTCAGTAGAAACCAAAATATTACGCTCGTGTCTCCCTTTTGAAATATTGTTGGAAAAGCCGGCAACCTCTCGAGAGTACCCTTGTCTATAGAAAGACCTCTCAAAAAATCCGCCGTCTGGAACCGGCATTAAAACCGGCGCACCACAAGCATATGAGAGAGGTGTAACAGACCAGAAGCATAACGTAAGAAGAAGAAAATAGAATGTCGTGTTAACTTCACGAATACCCAAAAGGGAAATCTGTGAAATTAGCACGACGTTCTATTAATAAATATTTAAAAAATAATGAAAGTTCTATAGTAACACTTTTTATAGTTCTACAGTTCCTTATAAAAATAAAACACAGTTTCGCATTTTTTACATTAAAAAAAAAATCAAAATTGAAAATATGTTAGATTCCCAAATCTAGCATGATACTTCCCCTCTAAAATACAAAAAACAAATGAATATTTTCACTTTTAGTTACAGATCCCGTTAGTATTATACTTTAATAATTCTATTTCTTGGTAAATCTTTAGATAAATGTACATATATATTTTATTCACTTACATACTTAAATATGATTGAATTCGTACTTAAATATATATATATATATATATATATGTGATATAAAAAGATTTTGAAAAAGAGGGAGAGAGAGAGAGAGAAAGAAAGAAAATTTATAAATTTTGCGTTACTGTTTGTGCGATTTTTAATATACAATATCATATAATATCTCACAGTACTTTTTGCAATAAAGTACGTTAATTATAAAGATATTTCAAAGAGAAGCTAAGTGAAGTTAATAATTACGGTATTTACAGCCTCTTTTATGTTTGCGGAATAATCGGATCAAAACCGGACTATAAGACAAAGTGATACCACAGAATTTCACGTCGATCTCTCAGAAAGGTGGCTTTTGCAGTTTGTGCTAAAAATAGTTTTCTAATTGTTCAATACTATATTGTAATTCATGTTATTTTGGACATAATTTTCGGAATTAATTTTGTAAAACTGATTTGTTTAATGACAAACGAATGAGACAAGAATTATATAACTCACCGATTACTTAAAAACACCCCAATCAGTACACAATATTTCAAAAATATTAAAAATTATATTTTTTACATATTTATTTAATGTAAAAATATTAAATAATTGTTAAAAAATGTTTTTTAAATATATTGTATGCTGATTGGGATATTAGAATAAGATGTGTTATATGCTACAAATATACACAAAATAACTAATATTAAAATCAAATTACATTCTGATAGAAACAAACTAATTAAACAACAAAAAGTAAGATGTTTTTATATTTTGTAATTATGTTAGAAAGAAATATGCGATAATATTCTGGAGTTAAATTAACTAATGACTTCTACTATGTTATATAAAATAAATTTTATATAAATAAGTTTTAATTTTAAAGCTTCCACTCCGACATACTTAATTTTTCTGACTCATATATATAAGTAGATGATATCCGTAAAAATGTATTTTATTTAGTTATTTAAGCTTTTACTGTCTAGAAGTATAAATATCATATATCATTCTATATAAATATACTAAATTTTTTTAAGAAAAATAATAAAAATGACAGTAATAGATAAAAAATGAGTCTTTCTATATTATAATTCTATATTACATATTTCAACGTGTATCAATATTACTGGTTTCTTTTATTTATAATAGAATTAACACGACTTGTGTTAAATTAAAAAATTGTTTACTAATAGACTGATAATAACGATCCAAAATAAAAATTCCGAAAGTTGAGGAAAGTTTCGTAAAGATATGCATTGGCTTGCATAATATAACGTAAGTTGTAATTACTTGATTGACATTCATCGATGGCTTCGCCGTCACATCCATAAATGCATTGCGTTGCAACGTACTTGGACTTATTATAAATTTCTTTCTGAGCTTTATAAATTTCTCTCATCCATTTGACGTAAAAATTGTGTTCTAATTATCGATCGTCTACATTATACTTTTTTAAAATTATTTTTAATTACTTCTTCATTCTAGAAAATTCAAAAGCTGCATCTATAATTTTTGAATGTTTTTTTAAACGTTATTCTTTTATATATATATATATATATATA